CATGTTCCCTGTAGGTTTTACAGATGCTGCTCACCAGGTTAGAGAAACGCGCTTCTGTGCTAAGTTTGCTAAGGGTTTCCTCTTCCCCTTTAATCCTTTCATCTGTTAGCGCGACGAACCATGCCGGTAGCTTCTCCAGTGTTAGAACAGCCTTTCGTTCCGCATAAACTCCATTTGGTCGAAGCCGATGACCTTTTTGACACATTGCTGGGTTTAGTTGGGTTTCCTTGTGTTTGCCATTTTGTCAGCTGGCGCCCCGTCTGCAGAGCCTTTCTGGGGAGGGGGTGACAGGCAGGTGCGAGGGTCTCAGCCCAGGACACTGACGGCGCAGGCACCGGTTCTGGCCCAGGCAGCGGAGGAGGCAGGATAGGGTGGGGGGGGAAGGGGCGGCCTGTGTGGGGCGGGGGAAGCTGGGTGGGAGAGTGAGCCCAGAGGGCGGGGCTTCTACGCAGGGGTCACCGGTCTCTGGGACTGCAAAGGCCCTGGGATCTGCGTGCTGTCAGTGGGCACAGGGGCCTGCCAGGGTGGGGAGGACGGAAGGGAGGTGGGGAGGGGACGCCCTGGTCTCCGGGGCGGGGAATGCACAGATGAGGTTGAGGAGAGAAGGCTCCTACGGGGACTTCAGGGGAGGGGACCTTGCTGTCCCCAGGGGCGAGGGGGAGGAGAGGCGTCAACTCCAGCTGGTCTCAGCCGCTGCGGGTGTGGAGGGGCAGCGGTGGGGTCGCGGGCTGGGGTTGGAGGCCAGTGTGGCCGCTGTAGCTGGCTGGGCTCTGCACTGCATGGCCCTGGGGGTGTACTGCAAGGACGGAGATGCTGTGCGTCCCCCCCAGCCTGCGCCTGCCCCGGTGTGATCCCCGCGTGCAGCCCCCGCCCCTGAGCGCCCACCGCCACTGAGGAGCCGCAGGCCGTCCAGACGTGCCTGCTCCGATCTGGCCCCTGGCTACCCAGGCAGTGTAGACGCTGCTGGGCTTCTGGGGTCCGGGCCACAGCTGGGTGCCCCAGCGGAGGCTCCTGTCTGCAGGGCGACCAGCAGGGCCCCACCGGTGTCCTGGGGCGCCATAAAGGCAATCCTCACTGTGGGCCGGGAGACCCCGCCTGACCTGGGCACGGGCTGAGCCGCACCAGGACCCAAGTCCCGCAGGGCCCCCAGCCCCTCCCGTGTTAAGCTGGTCAAAGGCCACGCCTGAAGAAGACGAAAGGCCAAGGCTCACAGGCTCACCTGTCCAACCTGAAGTCCCAAAGGTACTGACAGGCAGACACAGAAGGGCTGAGGCTCACATTTGCTTTTGAGAAATGCAGTTGTGATTCCAGTGGTCAAATAAGAAACGATAAACGTGGCATCGACGGAGGTGCCAGAGTGGTGACCTCAGCTCCTGGGTGGGGGCTCCTGGAGGGGCCTTTTTTCTGATGCCTGGACGGTGCCTGCGCACAGCGGGTGCTCACCAGACAGACGCCTGGACAGTGCCTGCGCACAGTGGGTGCTCACCAGACAGACGCCTGGACGGTGCCTGCGCACAGTGGGTGCTCACCAGACAGACGACTGGACGGTGCCTGCG